GGAGACATACTTCAAGTCCCCGCGTACATCGTACGGGCTAGGCAAAAATGTGCGTCATCTTGAAAAACTGTCGCTTTAATGGCCCTTCGCTCATTTTCAACTTCTATTCAATTTTCATACTGCCGTACTCTAACGGAACTATCCACCTACATTCTTCTAAAGATCATTCTCTAGCTAATAAATCATCACACTAAAGCTTCATGTTAGCATTTCCAACCAACTCTGAAAATCGTTAACTTCGCGTATGAAGTAACATAAAAAAAAAACACTTTGAAGGTTATAAATTGTTTATAATCCCTGCTAAACTTCAACTGAAATGGTTATGGTACTTTACATGAACGTTTGTGTGATAAAGTTTTAACCTTATGTATTATGGTTTTTTGGAAGCGGACCTTACAAATTATGGGTTGTTAAGAACCATTACCATTCCAATTTCTTGTTTTCTCCATAGATTTCCGGAAAGAGAACTATATTAGAACGTTTTTACTTATGGTTTGAGAACATGAATGGTTATGGTTATGGTAGTCAGTAAGGTCCATTAATGGTTTTGTATTATCGCTCAACTTTACGTGAAATATATCGTGAATTGGTAATCAGTAATTTACAGGCAACCAATTCGCGATATATTCCACATAAAGTTGATCGATGTTACAAAACCATTCATGGACCTTACTGGTTACCATAACCATTATCATTAATGTTCTCAAACCATAAGTTAAAAGGTTTTAGTATAGTTTTCTTTCCGAAAATGTATGGAGAAAACAAGAATTTTGAATGGTAATGGTTCTTAACAACCCATTATTTGTAATGTCCACTTCCAAAAAACTATAATACTTAAGGTTAAAACTTTATCATTAAACGTTCATGTAAAGTTCCATAACCATTTCAGTTTTAAATTTTAACCATTTTAGGTAAGGGCAATTTATGGTTCGCGCTTATGCGGGCGTGTATCCACCGACAAACCGACGTGAATGACCATAGCAAGAACAATAAAATTTCTGGCCAAAGCACACTACTGACATCTGGCTCCGTATTCACGGGAAATATTTAGCTAAAGCCATGAACCTGTATACAAAAGTTATGAATTGGTTTGTGTCTGATCTATTCTGGACAAATTATTTTTATCTAGATCAAAAAATCCTATGGTTTTGACAGTTCGGATCACTGCACATTTAAATCGGCCGTTTACGATTTTCGGGCATAAGTCAGAATTAAGTGTCATGTCGGTTTGTCGGTGGTTTCGGTTCACGAGAAAATGGCTTAACAAGACTTGTTTACAATATGGAGTAAAGGCCATTTCAATTGTTGGTCTTGATTTTTTTTATATTTATATGCAGCTGTCAAAAAATGTGTATATTTGGAGATCCTAAAATGTGTAAAAAAAAAACACATTTGAAGAAGTACCAGTCAAAAAATGTATATTTTTATACTCATTATTGGGTTAAAAAAAACTTCAAACTTTGATGCATCCTGCTTTGTTGACGCACGCCATTTGCTAAATTTTCAGTGAAGAACAGCAAGAAATGGAGGAACTACTGGACAGTGCGCAACGATGGACATGCTAGAGGGTAGGTGATTTATACCTTTTTCATAGCTTTTAGTTTTAGTTTAGTTTATATACTTCATATACTGATTTTTGTTTTTCTTCCTTTGATTTGTTTTCCGTCCTGAGCACCAATGCTACCGACGCCAGGGAGGAAGCTCCCATACCTAGGCCTTACCTATCGACCCATCAACTCATGAACCGGAGACCAATGGCTTCACTTCCCTTCCGAAAGAAGGCGTAATCCTCGGCGCAATCATCAGAGATGTTATGCCTCAGAACATCCCGGCAGCGTCGACTGGGATTGAACCCAGGCCCGCTGGGGTGAGAGGTAATCACGCTTACCACTACACCTCCGGGCTGCTACTTCTTTTTGTTGATGGCATTTCTTTTTTTAATAAAATATTATTGTATTCGAGCAATCTTTATTTTACCATTGACACAAATAAGAAAATTCCGAAGTTAATAAAAAACCATGCGCACCCATTATATTTAAGTTCTAGAAATGATTACTTTTTACACATTTTGCTGTAAAAACCGTTCTTAAAAAATGTGTACAAAATACACTTCTTTTGACGTTTGCTGGGTTCACACATAATTACGTAAACGCAGTTCACACATTTTATGAGTAGGCCCCTTTTTTTCACGAATTATGTTAAATTTTACACATTAATGTGTTTACGCTGGTTACCGTGTAGTTCGTTCGCAAATAGTGTAGAGAAGTACGTGAAAATTCGCAGAAGGAAAGTTTAAAATAATTTATTATTATTCCGTATTATTAAGAGTAATAATATTAAAAAATGAGCAAACTGGACGTGGAGAAAATATGTCGTCTCTGTTGCGAGAAAAAAAGCCGTATGCGTTCCCTGTTTGAGCAACGCCAAGAGTACCCACTCTCCTTGCAGCAGATAATTTTCGATGTATCACGGCTAGAGGTACACTGAACTAACGAGAAACGTAAATTTCACCTGAAAAATCAGGTAACCTTTCAAAAATAGAAATCCAATAAGAATTACATGCTGCACATAAATATCAATGGCATGGTAATGAATTCCACTAAATTCACTGATGGAGTTCAAGTGTTAAACAGATAAATGTTAAGTGAAGTTCACGTAAATTTTAAGTGACCTCATGATGTAAAAACTGTTTTTGCGTATTTGTTAGTTCAAAATGGCGCCGGTTGAAAATATGTGATTTTTGTTACTAGAAGATTGAGGATTTTTAATGTTTGTGAGCGTAAGTTTGATTAATATCAATATATGAATCCTGATTTTCAATACCCAAAATAAATTGAGAGCGTAAAATCGGATTGAGCAGTCCTCACAAGCTTAATCGCCAAACTACAGGAGTGCTTACAACAAAAAGACGTCTATTGGAGACATGATGTCCTTTTCGAAGTCATCAGTTGGAGGAAAATAAATGTAAGGATCAAACTTAATGTTTTAAATAAACCAATAACCAACTTTAACTTTATTCAGAAGCAGCAATTATTATAGAGCATTGAGGAGCAAACAAATGCAGAACGATCAACTTAACAACAGCCTGTTGCACTGGGTATAGATTCAAGAATAGGTTTGATACTCACGATAATTACTAAAAAGAACAATTTTATGTTGATTATAATAAAGTAAAAATTCAACAAATAAGTTAAATTTTATTAAAAAAAAAATCCGGATGATATAATGCAATACCACTGCATTAAAACACATGAAACATACCACAAATTCACATAAATATTACTACAAAATCCAGTGACGATTACTAAACAATTCACGTAACTTTTAAGTGAAGCTAATTTGACGATCATCGGAACGTCCGATAAAATTTACGTGAAAATCACTTGATTTTCATATGAATCACTTGAAACAACATTTCATTCCCAAAACACGTAATATTCACCTGAAAAGTACGATGGAAAATATTTACGTACCTTTTCAGGTGAATATTACGTGAATTTTATTTGCAGTGTAAGTGGAAACCTCGCACATAGAAGTATATTAATGGCCAATGACTTGAAACATAATCATAATCGTTTCGTGTCGTGTTTGTTGTATTAGAAGATAGATAATAGTTTCTTTCATCGATTCGTGTGCTGAAAATATATGGGAATGTCCTAACATGGCCTAGGACCTAATGTTGTAATGTTAGTCCAACCAAGTTATTAACAAAAGCGAAAATCAATGAGCCCTTATGATTCTGAACACTACTTTGGCCACAATCATTTATGCGAAGAACGATGTTTAGCAGAACCGTAATGCTGAATGTATTTTTCCTAAAGATCGAACCCGAGGACGGAATGCCACAGAAGATTTGCAAATGGTGTGTCACCAACCTGCTGAAGATTCACGAATCAATCGAGCTCATCCGGAAAAATGATCTAAAGCTAAGAAATCAGCTGGCCGGACCGTTGCTGATCGAAATCAAACAAGAAGAAGAAGAGATGGACATGGCATTGCTGGAGAAGGTCCTTACGCATGATTTGTAAGTGTGCGTTATCTTATGTTGAATATATTTAGGAATTATGTTCTGCTTTTAGGAAAGTTGATGATATCTGCGTTAAACAGGAAGTTATGGAGGAATACCTAGATGAGGAACTGTGCGAAGAAAACGAAGTCAATGGCAAAAATGATGAGAGCGTTGTTAATATTGAAATTGAAGAAGACATTGCCACATCAGGCAAGGAGGACGACGCGTGGAGGCCAATAGAGCATGATAATGAAGATAAGGATCCCCCGGTAAAAAAATATCGTCGTAGAACAAAGCAAGAGAAGGATGCTAAAGGTAAACGGAAACTTGGACGCTCACGCAAGAAGGTTGTAGATCGACCTCGATTACACGATTACAAATGTTATATTTGCAAAAGTGAGTCGCACGGATCGCCAGAAGCTCTAATTGCGCATCTGAACAGTAGTCATACGGATAAAGTGCCTTACACTTGCCCAGAGTGTGTTATGGAGACGGTTGTTATTAAAGGCGTTCAAGGACTGAATGCTCAGATGAGACAACATTTGAATCCGGAAAAATGTGCATATTGTGACAAGCGGTTTAGCGACAAACGAAGTCTTGCGCAACACGTGCAGACGTATCATATGGATGGCGATGCCCAATGCCAGTCCACGTGTAAATACTGTGGCGAAGTGTATGCTTCCAAGGCCTCACTTCTGCATCATATGAAACTGCATACCAATGCAGCGAGTTGCGAGATTTGTGGTAAAGTTTTTAAGGAGCGGTCGAAACTACGATTGCACATACAACGCAAGCACGAAAAGCTAAAAAAACATGAGTGCTCTATTTGTAATAAGAAACTTGCATCATTGGACAGTGTCCAAATGCACATAAAAACTTATCATTCGACCCAGGTGTTCAAATGTAGTTACTGTCCAAAAACGTTTGGATCAGAGTCATCACACCGATCCCACGAGAAGAAACATATCGAAAATCCGGAATATGTTGTTAAGAAGGATTGGACAGAGTACTACAGCATTGTCGAGGGACAAGAAGAAAAGCAAGGTGCTAAAAAGAAAAAATGCCACCTTTGTGGAACGGTTACCACAGCAATGTTCTTCCATTTATCTTCGGCGCATTTTCCGACCGAGTACCGTTGTACAATCTGCGGTGACATTTTCAAACGTAAGCAAACCTATGATACCCATGTACTGGAGCACGAATATGGAAAAGCATACCAATGCCCGATCTGTGAGCGCAAATTTTCCCTTAAGAAGAATCTTATAATCCATCTTCGGACGAAGAAGCATCAGGATCATCCACTAGCTCAGTCACTGGATTGGCTGGGGGTTAGTACCGTAAAGTCAAAACCAAAGAAGCCCATAGAAGTAAATGATGATGCACAGGACGGCGCACAGATCGAAGATCGAGAGCTGAATGCTGATAGTATGTAGTCAAATTTCGAATGTTTCAATACAATTATTGTATGTTTCTATGCATCGAGTAAATGCGAATGTATATAAATAATTCTAGGGTTCAGAATCATAAGAGCGATCGATTCTTTTCACAGATTTTGTTAATAGCTTGGTTGGATTAATGTTGCTTTTGATAGCAAATACAACTTTACACTGTAGGAAAATATGTTCACTTAATGAGAAAATCGATGAAGAGAATCGGTCATCGCTGTTAGACCCTTATGATTCTGAACGCTAGAAATTAACCAAATAAATCGATGACTGTAGACGGACATAAAAAGTGTAAAAAGTAGCTCGCAACTTTGAGTAGACTTGACTCAGCCTTTGAGTTATTTTTTACGTCCGCGTAGGACGGTTCTCTCTCTAATTTGGTATTGATTTATTACTATACCAAGCAGCCAATAGCCATCGGTCTATACTAATATAGAATATACTAATAAGCTATTTTACGTGACGTCTTGATGACAGTTTCTGGCGGGCCACTCGAACGCGCTCGAGGCATTGTTATTGTTTACGTCTGATGTTTTTGTTTTGATTTTGGTCGTGGTTTGTCAACAAATCGGCCCGCTGGTAAACGTCAAAATAGGTAAACAGAAAAAAACAGCTGACTCGAAACGTCTCGTAATGCCTTTTGCGTTTTTGCGCGAATTTGAGCGAACGAAACATTTGAAACGGGCCTCCCGCATAAACGCAAACCATCACTTAACCTTACCGATAATGGTTATAAATTGTTTATAATCCCTCCTAAACTTTAACTGAAATGGTTTTGGAACCTTACATGAACGTTTGTGTGATAAAGTTTCATTTTCAAGCACAGAAGGGGGTCATAGGGCCAAGTCACCAGCGAAAAATCGCTGTCCATACTGCACCAGGGTAGAGGTATAGATTTGGCATCACAGAATAATAACCACAGGGGTCAAATGAATCCTGTTTACGATACCGGATAGTAAGGAAAGCTGTTGAACATAGGGGATAGTCAGAGTAACAGCAATAATAGTGAAAGTTAGGAAAATAAGCAGGTAGAGATGGTTGATTTGCAATGGCTATCGACTTTGTTATATGGCCTACCGTATCAGATTCAAATTTAATGTCGTTTAATATTGCGCTTATTACTTTTATCTTTATTCTAAGCAATCTCCTTTCATATTTGTTTGTTTTAAAGTGAACTGGATGAAATGAACAAAAAACGTTGCAGAAGTCCATACCATAACATATCTAACTTACTATCGACATTTTTTGACTAATACCTAAATGTAATTTTTAATTTTATGACGATAAGTTGCTCTACTACTACTACTAAAATCTGACTACTATAATCTCAAAAAGATATTCTCACAAATGTATTTCACGCAACCAGGAATCTGAAAACCATTTGACGCTATAATATTACCTTGCACATGCTAGACACAAGAAGAGGCCAAAAGGCAAGCGTCCGACACACAAAACCCTTCAAATCAACCCACAATCAACGATTCTACGAATCACGAGCGCTCACGAATCATAAAACCGCCGACTGCGACACTCTGAAAGCGAAATTGACGGCTCTATGCGTCAAACACCGGCCCTCCAATCTCCTCCCGCATCCAACAAACACAAATCCCTTCTACAACATCTAACGAATTCAAAACTCCGAAAATCACTCATCTATAGCATGTGAATGGAAGAAACTCTGCATGCAACCATTCTTCATGATACACTTTTTCTGCCTATCTTTCTATTCAGCCTGTGGACATGCGTTAGCTTCGAAACTTCTTACCAAACTGGGAAATCTATCAGATCACAAAAACTTGAAAAATCTTTCAAAGATATTATTGATTATTTTACACAAAAACCAGCTAGTAATATTAAATCTTTTGTATCATATGCTAATGCCAATTGACTGTAACAAAACTAATATGCTAAAATAAAATAAAATTTTAATAATATTATATGCAAAATTTACTAGAAGATCATTACTTTATTGGTAAGAAGTTTCTAATAAGCCCTCCCAGTTCCTCTGTATACAGAACAAATCTGATACTACAATCAGAATTGCTCAGTCTGCATGAAGCAGCCGATTTCATCAAGGAAGTTCTATTAACAACCAAGAATTAATCGTTTGAGGCATACTGAAGCATTAAGAAGGTGATATGTGTCACTATAGGAAATCATCATCGTTGCAAATATAAAGAAATTAAACATAACCCTTTGCTTCAGTACCGTCAACCTCCATGTCATTGGGGAGGGAACGTTTGTGTGATAAAGTTTTAACCTTATGTATTATGGTTTTTAGGAAGCGGACCTTACAAATAATGGGTCGTTAAGAACCATTCCCAAGTAACCAAAAGTTCTGATAAAAGGCCATTTGTGGCTTAAGCAGCTTAGTTGGTGATGGTCTTTAGAATTCTAAGCAGCCTCATTTTTAAGTAGTTATAAGAACTTGAAAGTTCCGGTATAATAATTGAAGAGCATTCTAAGCAGCTTCAGGCGGAACTTGAACGGAACTTTTAGAAAATAAAATAAAAAAGGTTTTTGTCCTCTACACCAATTCTATGTTTAAGTTCGCACTTTTATGAAAGTTATTTCTAAAGACAGGTATTAATGTGTATTGATTTATCAGTGTTAGTAATAGAATTTGAGCTGTTTGAAGAATTAAAGCCAGTCCTTCTGCGCGAGAGCCCCAGCACGAACCGCTGCGTCATCTGAAATATATTAAAGTGAGCTGTTGTCCCGCCTACTGTTGGAGTTTTCAGTGCCAGCTGACTGACTTGCATACGAAACACAACACCTTGATGAATTTTAAATTGCTATTTGCCCGCATGGTATTCCAACACATTTGTGGCGCAGTGGTTAGCGTTAGTAGATCGCATGCCAAATACACGGGTTCGAATCCAGGAAATTACTTTTTAAATTTTTTTTAATGTTTGGATACAATGTTGATGCACTGCATAAATATAAGAATTATGATTTATTCGGGCCACTGATCATTTAATATTTACGTACATTAAATTTTGTTACTAATAAAGACTTGTGAGGATTGCTTCATGTGGCTTGAAAGTTCTATCGGAACTTTATTTGAACTTTATGAAACTTGATAGTTCTGTCGGAACTTTATTTGAACTTTTTGAAACTTGAAAGTTCTGTCGGAACTTTATTTGAACTTTATGGAACTTGAAAGCTCTGTCGGAACTTTATTTGAACTTTATGGAACTTGAAGGTTCGGTTGGAACTTTATTTGAACTTTATGGAACTTGAAAGTTCTGTCGGAACTTTATTTGAACTTTATGAAACTTGAAAGTTCTATCGGAACTTTATTTGAACTTTATGGAACTTGAAAGTTCTGTCGGAACTTTATTTGAACTTTATGGAACTTGAAAGTTCTGTCAGAACTTTATTTGAACTTTATGGAACTTGAAAGTTCGGTTGGAACTTTATTCGAACTTTATGGAACTTGAAGGTTCGGTCGGAACTTTATTTGAACTTCATGGAACTTGAAAGTTCTGTCGGAACTTTATGGAACTTGAAGGTTCATTCGGAACTTTATTTGAACTTTACGGAACTTGAAAGTGATTTTAATCGTTGAATGCGGAACTTTTGGTTACTTGGGTTACCATTCCAAATTCTTGTTTTCTCCATACATTTTCGGAAAGAGAACTATATTAGAACGTTTTTACTTATGGTTTGAGAACATTAATGATTATGGTTATGGTAGTCAGTAAGGTTCATTAATCGTTTTGTATTATCGCTCAACTTTACGTGGAATATATCGCGAACTGATAATTATTAATTTACAGGCAACCAATTCACGATATATTCCACATAAAGTTGATCGATAATCCAAAACGATTAATGCTTTGTGGGCAGGCGCACTCCCATCACCATGTATGCGTCATTTCTGGAGCAGAGGAGGAGGAGCCAAGAGTTCATTTGACAGCATGTATATACAATTTCGTGAGCTGTTTTAGCAAAACAATTTGAAACTTCGGAAGATTTTCAAGATGTTTTCTAGCAAAAAACAGATACAATTGATGTAATTTTGTTCGCAAAATCGGTAAGCATTTGTAAGGTTCACTTAAACAAACATAATAGCAGAAATGGATGTAATGTCGGCTTAAATGCTCCTAATTTGGACCCTACTTAAACTCAGCAATCGACAAAATTTTCAATAGCGACCAGAAATTAATATCCATTGGTACCGTCCCAATGACGGGTTCATCTAGATAAAATTGATAAACAGCAGATTTTTAGCGATGGGCCTAATCTTAGATCCATACACGCTTATTCTGGTCAACTCAAAATTGAGTCGAATGTACTCATCTCAGCGGCAAGTATGGCTACTCAAAATTGAGTAGCCTTATGTTGACTCACTTTTGAGTAAACTACGTTCTCACGTAGACTGAGTCAAATCCACTCGCCGGTATTTTCAGTTGCGGGGAGTGTTTTTGTTTTGATTTTCATTCAAGGAAATGGAAATTGCCTGCTCCGGATTCATTCTACCGGAGCAAAACACGGTTCAACACCGTTTCCCTAAGCAATTCGTACTTACCTAAAGGCATTTCAGCCGGTTTTGAGTAACATTTTCTATGAGGTTCCCTCCGACATGACTGGCATTTTTTCCAACTCCAGGATTTTGCTGACTGAGTGGCTTTTACTCAGTTTGACATTTCTCGTTTACTCAATTTTTGACAACTCGATACATCGGACGAAAGTGAGTACGATCGACTCACCTGGTGAGTAAGCAGAAGTTAGCGTGTAGGCCAACACTAGAGCCATTTTCCCATTGGCAAATAAAAGTTGGCACTCGTGGAGAATAGAAGAACTATAACAGTGATGATGGTTTCAAAATTTTCCACGGGGAAGTATACGAATGCAATCTTAAAATGCTTTTATTTTGCAAATGGAACATTTTATTTAAATCTGGTTGCTGCTACAGTGGTAGAAAAGCTCAAATCTATGTGTACACCTAAAAATCTGAAAAGAAATTAATTTTTCTGTATTATTTGTCTATTGAGTAGTCCTTAAGTTTTCTACTAACATAGCATCAACCAGATTTAAATAAAATGCTCCATTTGCAAAATAAAAGCATTTTAAGATTGCACTCGTATACCTCACCGTGTAAAATTTTGAAACCATCATCACTCTCATAGTTCTTCTATTCTCCACGAGTGGCAACTTTGATTTGCCAATTCATAAGGTTAAAACTTTATCACACAAACGTTCATGTAAAGTTCCATAACCATTTCAGTAAAAGTTTAGCAGGGATTATAAACAATTTTTAACCATTTTCGGTAAGGTCAAGGCGAGGGTCAAGTTATGGTTCACGTTTATGCGGGCAGGGAGAGACTAAGATCACAAACGAAGTGACAGACGGAGTGCACACTGTCAAAGATCATATTGCACACAAAATCAACTATGTTCAAATCAAAACAAAAATTCTAGCCCATCTGGTGGCTGATGGCACAAGCTTCTAAGGAAATTCTATTACAGCGAACCACATTATTTTAATTGATTTCTTCGCCAGTTAGTCGTCTGTCACTTCGATTGTGCCAATAGGCTAGTCAAGTAGTGAGCCAATTTAAAATCGTTAGTATCCTCCGGTAGCTTATACTCCTTTGAAATTCATACCGATTTCTTGTGGCTAAAATTCATAAGTGGTTCTTACCGAGGTTCTTACGTTCATTTGCCTCAGTGTAGAGCTCTCTACTCAAATGCTAAGAGGAAGAGGAGACAATACGGGGGCGAAAACGATGTCAAAGAAGATGCGTAAGATAGAGATATAGATAGAGATAAAATCGAGGATAAAATAGTAAGAAGCCAGCTGTCTCCTCCTCCTCTTAGCTCAAATAGCTCAAATGATAGAACCCAACGTTAAGTTTTTTTAAACTTAATCTTGAGTAGTTTTTTCTTTTCGTGTATTTTTTTTTACAATAGGCCATTTTCAAATGTTACGTGAGGATAATTCTCGTCAGCGTCTCGTTCGCAACGTAAACAAATCGGGTGTGTGTTGTTTCGCGTAATATTCGTCCAATGCAGGATTTCAGAAAATATTGCTATTTGCTTCAATAAAGCCAAAATGAGTCAACTGGACGTGGACAAAATATGTCGTCTCTGTTGCGAAAAAAAGGGTCGTTTGCGATCCTTGTTCGAGCAACGGCAAGAGTATCCACTCTCTTTGCGGCAGATGATATTCGATGTATCACGGCTAGAGGTAAGTACAAATGGTACAGACTTTCAAAAGAAAATAGAGGAAAATTTTAATGTAGGTTGGATCACTATTATAAACCAAATTTAATGACTTCAAAGCAGATTCCTCGCAGATTGTCAGCATCTTCTGTTTGCAGACTTTTGCTGGGTTGAATTCTATTTAATTTTACTCTACAGAGGCATTTTCCATGTCATTACAAAGGGGTTAATCTATCATCAGGATTACGTTTGTCTGAATTCTGAATACATTTTAATTTGTTACTTCATCAGTTATTAGTACGGGCTACGGAGGCGTAACTGAACAGTTGTGAGAGCTGATCCTTCTTAACCCTTGCCTTCCCAAAAAGTTATTCGTAGTTTTGAGATGCAAAAATGTGTTTTTGCAAAAAACCAAATGTTAAAATAAATAGTATTTCATTAGTTGCTTAGTTAGTTGAAAAATTAATAATGAGCACACGGAGCTCAAATAAGTTGTGACTATTTAATGGTAGATTGATAAACATGAGACGGACCGAAAAGATGTCGATCACCATGGGAAGGAGATATTTTGTTGCCGAGATGGGCACTGCCGAGCAGCTCGGCATTTTATTTATCTGGGTCTCAATGAAAAACTTGCCGAGATTCAGTTAACAAACATGAATATTGCTGAATGTCGGCAAGTTTTTCACTGAGACCTAGAAAAATAAAATGCCGAGCTGCTCGGTGGTGCCCATCTCGGCAAAAAACCTACGTGTGTACCTTTATACCAAACGGGTTATCCCAAACCAGTTACAGTTCAAATAAAAATAATTTCTAGCAAAAAACGGAATTTACTAGTCCATCTTCCTTTTTCTTCATTGGCATGCGACTTTTGATAACTAGGTAACTAGGTAAACGTATGTTAAGACCATATCGTGTTAAATTTAGCTTTTTTCGCTTTAGGTCGATCCCGAGGATAGAATGCCCCAGAAGGTTTGCAAATGGTGCATCACCACGCTGCTGAAAATGCACGAAACAATCGAAAATTATCGGACAAATGATTTAAAACTGAGAGAACTATTAGGAGCAACGATGCTGATCGAAATCAAACAGGAAGAGGAAGAGGTGGACATGGAATTGCTGGAGAAAGCACTTAAACATAACTTGTAAGCGTTGTATTGTGTTCAATGAGCTACAGTTATTTATTTGGTTTATTAATTTCAGAGAAGTTGATGATATTTGTGTCAAACAAGAAGCTATGTTGGAGGAATATATTGACTCGGAAAGGCGCCGGGAAAGTGAAGTTACTGATAAAATGGACAAGACTGTTATTACAAATCTGAATCCTCCCAATAGCGAAATCGAAAAAGAAACTGCCATTGACAAGGAGGACGATGAGTGGAAGCCTATAAAAGAGGATTCTAAAGATAAGGTTCTCCCGGAGAAGAAATCTCGCCTTAGAGCTAAAACAAAGCATAAGAAGGATGCGAATAGCAAGCCGAAATATGGACGCCGTGGCAAGAAAGATCCAAATCGACCTCGATTGCACGATCACAAATGTTACATTTGCAAAAGTGAGTCACACGGATCGGCCGAAGCATTGATTGCTCACCTGAACAGTAGTCATATGGATCAAATGCCGTACACTTGTCCGGAGTGTGTTATGGAGACGGTTGTTATTAAAACCGTTCAACGACTGAACGCGCATAAGCGTCAGCATTTAAATCCGGAAAAATGTCGATATTGCGACAAGCGGTACACCGACAAAAATAATCTAGCATTCCACGTGCAGATGCATCACCAGAATCATTGCCCATCGACTTGCGAACACTGTGGCGAAGTGTATCCTACCAAGGCTTCGCTATTGTATCACATGAAACTGCATACCACTGCTGCGAGTTGTGAGATTTGTGGTAAAGTTTTCAAGGAACGGCAAAAACTTCGCTTGCACATTCAACGCCGTCACGAGAAGATAAAAAAACATGAGTGCAACATTTGTAAGAAGAAACTCGGATCGCTGGACAGTGTCCGGACACATATTAAAACATACCATTCGAATCAGGTGTTCAAATGCAGTTATTGCCCGAAGACATTTACCGCGGAGCTAACACATCGATGCCATGAGAAGAAGCATATCGAAAATCCAGACTATGTAGCTACAAAGGATTGGAGCGAATACTACACCATTGTCGAGGGGGAAGAAGGTAAGCCTGGTATTAAAATGAAGAAATGCAACCTATGCGGACTGGTTTGCACAACTATGTCGGTTCATCTATCTATGGTACATTTTCCGACCGAGTATCGATGCAAAATTTGTGGCGCTACGTTCAAACGTAAGCAAACCCATGATGTCCATGTATCAAAACATGATAATAGTAACGCATACCAATGTCCCATCTGTAACCGTGAAATTTCCGACCGAAAGAATCTGATTGCCCATCTTCGCACGAAGCAACACCGAGATCATCCACTGGCTCAGTCGCTGGAGTGGCTTGGATATAATCCCGCAAAGGCGAGACCACGGAAGCCAAAAGAAGTGATTGCTGATACTCAGCAACAGGCGCATATTGAAGTAGAAGCTGGAATAGATGATTCTTTGTGAACTATTACTAATAGTTGTAATAAAAACTATATCAGAAAAACACACCTCTTGCTGATCTGTACCGTGACATGCCCTATTACCGTGAGATTAGGACGCTTTAGTTAGAAAAAAAAAGGATTTACAGCGATTTATGTTTCTTCAATCGTCTTTTAATTGTGTACTGCCGGTGCTCGCATATCAGTCCCATTTGATAAATCGTCATATTGAGTTATTTTTCTGCTACTTCTAGTAATAAAATCCAGTACTAATGGTGAACAAAGTTCCATTGCAACATACATTTATCGTTGGCAACTTGAATACATTTATAGCATTGATCTCTCGATAAGATACCTGGAATAAAACGTGATGGGAGTCATATGCGAGTACATTTCGAGACGAGCGCAAAAGTACCGTAATCTATGGGCAAATTGATCACTTATAAACGTAAATACGCAAATATATTTTCTACAAAAAACGAAATTGACAAACTAATGGTATTAAGATAGGTAGCTATGATGACTCTATCGTTCTGCATGATTACCTATCCTCAAATTTGAAAATATCGCTATACGGGGTGAAATTGATCAACCCTTTAAATGGCTTCTGAGTGACTTTCTAGTACATCTAGAATTCCCTGATTCTGAATCAGATGCTAAAATCCTTGTACCAAGGGAATTTTCAACAGAAAAGATCTCTTAAAATGCACAGTTGCGATGTAGGCACATCATATTTGAATAATTTTACCGTGATACATTATATTATTCAGATTCCCTGGGCATTGGCATAACCTTGAGGATTACTTAACTGCAACCAGGTCCCATGGCTTGTCTGTATCTTTACATTTTGAAAAATGCACACTAGTGAAGCTAGTTGTGATGTAGTGGACCAAAAGTTTGTAGGAATTTAACTAATAGCGAAGACTTCAAATCAAGAAGACTGGCAACTTTGCCAGAATCTAAGCGACAGATGCAGTAGCGCTGCGCTTGAGTGAAGGTGGAAGCATCGCATAGAAAAATGAGAAAATACACAAACCTTTCTTCTGAGGATGTAATCTTTACTATCAAATTCGTTCGAAGCATTTACCTTTGAGCGGCAGATGACGCGATTGTACCTGTCTCATAGCGTTTGTATGAGAAAATGGAAGAGTTGCCAGTCTTCTTGATATGTTGTCTTCGTTAGTATTTTGATTTCTATCCGCTGCAATAGCAGCATAGGTAGCTCCATTTACGATTGTGCTACATTTCCCCGAATGTCGTTTCCCCGAATGTCACTTCCCCGAACGCCATTTCCCCGAATCCTAGACAAACATATACCCCATTTCCCCGAATGCCATTTCCCCGAATGTCATTTCCCCGAATGCCATTCCCCCGAATGTAATTTCCTCGAATGAAATCCAAAAATTTATAAAATACTTTGACTGTATTATATTTCTATGGTTGGTTTCGCGAGCATTAAGAAGACATCTTTGAATATTGCAACAATTAACCTTAAAAGAACAGCCCATGATAAAAAAAGGGAAAATCTCTGTTCAAAGTAAATCAATCGGGCGAGAGTTTTAGTGAGGCGGCGGCAGTACCAGAAGTGGAAGTGTAAAAATTGGTAATATATTTTTAGGACATTTTCCCTTATTTTATACATGAGCAGTTCTTTCGAGAACTTTGGCAAAACTAATATAGATGATTTGACGGATTGGTAATCATTTTTTAGGAGATTTTCCCTTCTTTTTAAATTTATTTAGGAGATTTTCAGCCGTAGACATATTTTATCCTTCTTTAATAAATGTTTTTTCGAAAACTTTCTCAAAACTTGTGAGATTGACGGTTTGACAAATTGGTAATGTATTTTGAAGAAATTCTTCCCTCTTTTATAAACGAGCAGTCTTCCGGGAACTTAGACAATATGTGAGGTCGATGGATTTAAAAATTGATAACATAGTTTTACGAGATTTTTTCTTTTATAAATTCAAATCGAGGAATTTGGCGAAACTTGTGAGATATATGATTTGACAAATGAATCGAGGAATGCTGTGAGTTTTACACTCACAACTACTGACAGCATAGCGCCAGCTTCTATGGACGAAAAGTTAAACCGAAAAATAATGTATGCAGATTTCAATATTTTTATTAAATTTTCGTTTGTGGAGGCGAAACGAGAAAAAATATTTGGTAGGGCTGTTGCGCCATAATATAAGCCACCTTCGGTACCAATATTTTTTTCAAAGGGCCAAGGAAAAGGCTCTAATTTAATAAAACAATCATTTTCCGATTTTCTGCGTACAAAACAAATCGCCATAACTTCTGTTTATTACTGTCACCTGTTGAAATTTGGTTGCAATAATTTCCGAAACAAGTTTTGCTAAATTTCCCGAAAGAACTTCTTATGTAAAAAAGTAGGAATAAACATATTTTACCATTTTGTCAAACCATCAATCTCTCATGTTTTTCCAAAGTTCTCGAAAGAATTGCTCGTAAATAAAAGAGGGCAAAACCTCCTTAAAATTTATAATCAATTTGTCAAACCGACGATATTTTGCCAAATTTTTGGTGCTCTTTGGTTTTGGTCTGTCTTTTTGGTTTTGGATTATGTATTATTCTATATATAAAAATGAAAATGCTTTTAACGGCTCAATACATTAATATAGGGGAAAGCGGGGCATAGTCAGCATCAAGTGCTTTGGCAATGCGTTTCTAGCTACTCGAAGCAAATTAATTGGTAGTTGGGTTAATCTCATAAACATTCCATTTGCATGGCTTGACATTTAATCTGGTTTGCAATCTGCTCACTATGCTCAAAATATAGTAGGGGTACTGGGGGTAAGACGGACACCCTAAGGATTTGCTCAGTTTTATCTACGCTGAATGCAATATTTTGCCTGCAATCTCAGTATTCTGTAGGTTAAACGTATGCTTTGAGAAACTACATGCCTTAATTTATTTGAAGTTACGAAATTTAATGATTAATTTTGAAATTAAAAATAGTGTAATAATGCATAATTTGAGTTAGGTGTGGGTAAAACGGACAGGTGGTGGGGGTAAAATGGACAGGTGGTGGGGGTAAAATGGACAGGTGGCGGGGGTAAAATGGACAGGTAGTGGGGGTAAAATGGACAGGTAGTGGGGGTAAAATGGACAGGTGGCGGGGGTAAAATGGACAGTCTTGTAAATTTAATTTTTCTCTATTTTAAAAATTATGCAATGCATTCTCTGAATGTGACATATTTAAAGAAAGATGGTTTTTACGATGATGGTGTTTATTGCTCTCCTTACAGTAATTATTCTTATGACATTACAGAACGGTAGTGCTCTAAAAATAGCGATAAAGTTAAATGCTTAGGTACAGGTATAATGGATTAATTTTCACATTGTATGTACATGTCATGTAAATATAACAATAACATACTAAAAAGGAACCTTATGAACTTGTTTAGGTGCAGGAGGGACAAATAGTATCAACCTTACTGTAGCATTGAGCATGGAACCACTTCAAGCACTTCAGGCATTTGTTCCAGCCTTGCCCTTCAACTGATCCAGAAAAACAAAATCCACATAGTTCGCATAGAACATCTTCAGGATGGCTGTCCACTTTTTGACGTTTAGTAGACGATTGTTTCTGGCCCTTTTTGATTGATTTAATTTCCTTCAAAGCCTCAGCTGTTGCTAGACCTTGGCGATAATGTCCAGAAGTGATTTCTACCGCTTTTTCTGATTTGCGTTTTCTCTTTGATGCTCTCGGTACTGCCATTTTTGGTAGCGGACGAATCTGCGACGGTGACACCTCGAACGAAGATTTCGGAGGAGTTTCAGAAACTTGACTCAGGGCGTTATTTCTGTTTTCGGGATTACCTGAAGAAGTACCAACTGCATATGGTTGTTCTTCGGCCGAGTCGTTCAACACGACGATAGTCGAGTTTTGCATAGGCGTACCACAATGTTGCACATCCGTTGAATCAGTTGCTTCAGGCTGGTCGGTCACTTCGGATGGCGCGAAGGCTTCGTCTGGAAATACTGTTCGATCTGCCGGCCATAGGCCGTGGCCAGGGTAGACGCGACACGCGACGCGATGCGATGCGACTCACGCAAGGAATAATAATAAATAATAAGATTCTTTTGAATTGGTCGCGTCGCGTCGCGAATCGCGTCTACCCTGGCCGTACCCATATTCCGGACTTTTTGAAACCGTTGATGGCCACGCTTGTAGTGGTGGCTTTTACAAACGCAGTGCCCATCAATTCGGCTACGTCATATTGACCGATGTTACGTCCCGGATATTTCCGCATGAAGGCTTCTGCTGCACTCGCGTAGTGGATTTTAAACGGCCCCATGAAAGAGATGTCGAGTGGCTGCATTTTATTGCTGCAGTGTGGTGGTAAAACCAACACTGTTACAAAATTCGCTCGAGCTCTTTCTGCGAACGCCAAGTTCTTCGTATGCGAACTATGACCGTCTATGATCAAAAGAACGGGATTGCTCACAGTTGGGTGCACATTTTCCAGGAAGTGCTCAAACCAATCCAGGAAGATATCTGCGGTCATGTATCCAGAAGGGTTACAAGAGAACTTGGTTCCACTTGGCGCTCCCTTTTTTAACGATTCGTGCATCCGTGCCCTAGCAAATATAACGTAGGGTGGCAGGTGATGACCAGCCGCAGACATGCACATAACTACTGATGTCGTGTCTCCTCTATCTGCCGACGTGATGGAACCCACCTGCTTCTTCCCCTTTTTTGCTGCTATTTTGTTTCTTGGCAGGGACCTAAAATATTACAGTAAGTGTAAGTTTCAATTATAAGAAAATTGTAAAAGAGCTTACGGTACTGATCCCGGTTTCATCTGCGTTGTATATACGCGAAGGCGGGAACCCTTTGTCGGTCAATGTTGCTTCCAGCATATCAAAAAAATCATTCACAGAGGGTTTATTGAACCCTCTGGCACGTGCCGTAGATGTCGCTTCCGGTTTGCGGAAGGATAGAGTTGGATTCCGCTTTAAAAATCCGTGAAGCCAGTCTCGTCCCGCTAGCTGCTT